TGCCTGGTAGGGAGATGAGTGTGGGCGGGGCCCCGTATCTCATCACTAGATAAGTGTGCATGGGGTTCCATATCTCATTAGTAGCAGAGTAGGGTGGGGCCCAAGATAGACGGGGACTTGAGACTATCAAACAATTTATGTTATGGATATGTAATGTTGACGTTTTTCAAAATAACTTGTATTCTCAGGTAACATGTAAGCTGAGGAGTAATACCAAGTATGTCAGGGTATTATGCTTTTGGAAAACTATCAAACAATTTATTTTATGGATATGTAATGTTTAAACAATGTACTTGATGTAAACAATGTCAGTTGTAATGTATTGTTGCACGGTGATGTTTATGTTATGATTCATGTATATTCATTGTGATGATATTCAATTTTAGCCACGCGAGCCATCAGACGTTTCCGCCGTCTGGTTCAGGGGTGTGACATGGTTTCCTTAAATCGTAGTTAATTCTATGACTAATATACCCTTCCATGTTATTATGGATGATTAGTTATTATTTTAAATTTTCAATTAATTTGAATCCCAAAAACTAAAAACTGACTATAATTATTTCTCACTATTTTCATAATAGTTGCAATTTTTATTTGAACCAAACTATATATATATATATATATATATATATATATATATATATATATATATATATATATATATATATATATATATATATATATATAAGGAGTGGTTCAAATGAGAACTATAAAAGATTAAAAATCTTAAGAACCTCTATTTCATAAGTAAATTTGTGCTTGTGATATATCAGATTTGTTTATCTCTATACTATGTTTTATTCACGTTTTATTATATTTGAATCCTGACTTTTTTTATATATGGTTGAAACCATGATTTATTTATTTATGATTATATGTGTTTTTAGATTCTTTTTATATATATATATCATAATTATGCTTTATTCATTTAGGATTGCAAATGTATTGGACTTATTTATCTTTTTATTGTATTGTATTTATTTTATGATTATATCTATTTTATCTGCATTTCAAATATGAAAAATCAAGGATGGTTTTTCACTTGTCTAAAATTGTGATATGTATTCAAGGCAAGTGAATTCGAAATAGTTATGACCCTTACAAAATGTTGCTTGCGAATTTTTGCTGTCAAAAAATAGAACAAGATAATTTCAGAGCATCATATTTCATGTGAAAAGATTCATCACTAGAAAAAAGAAACCCATGTGGCACCGAGAAAAGAAACAAATATGTATTTATGAGTAGAATTAAATTTAGTTTTATTCGTTTAAGAATAAAAATTGATGAATATTAGATGTATGTATTTTTGAATTAAAGTAATGTGACTTTACTCATTTATGAATACTACTAGATTAACATATTTCTATTGATTGTTGTTAGATAGATATGTTATATATTAAATCAATTTTTTTGTTTATTTTCTAATCATTCATTATTAATATGGTATCATATAAATTCTGGAAATTCTGTGAAAAAAGTTTTTTTTAAATGAACACCTTTATTCACTATGAATGTGTACACGTATTCGGATTAAATGATGAACTCATCAATATTTTTTGATAGATTGGTAATAAAAAAACGTCTTTTAATCAGGGTAAATTTTTTTTTTCTAAATAATATTATTGATTAAAAATAGATTAAATACATTTATAGTATTTAGGTAAAAAATAATTAATTAGATAACATCTCATGATTTTAGGAGTTATTAATTATCCATATTTAATTACATCGTAAAATTCCTTTTTTACCCTTATGAAATTATTGGTCTAAAACTATTCTCGCGTTCTCAACCTTTTAAGTGTTCTCATTTAATCATTTCCATATATATATATATATATATATATATATATATATATATATATATATATATATATATATATATATATATATATATATATATATATATATATATAACCAAATTTTTTTTTAGGGAAAATGACACAAATACCCTACGAAATTTTTAGGCTTTACCCGTATAGTCCCTAAAGTTTTTTTCGGATTTTATGGGTCCTTATACTAGGATATAACATGCTATTTTAGTCCTTGTCAACCTGTTATAGCCGGTTCAGTGACATTTTAGACTAAAAAAACTCATATTGTACCCGATAAAGCCAAAAAAATAAGTTTGGGGATCAATAGAAATTGAGTGTGAATCGGCTTTAGAAGAAAAGAAGAATTTTTTTTTTTTACAAATTGATCCCCGAACTTATTTTTTTGGTTTTATAGGGGCATAATGTGAGTTTTTTTTTTTTTTTTTTTTTTTTTTTTTTTTTTTTGTTTAAAAGGTCACTGAACCGGCTATTACAGGTTGACATAGATTAAAAGAGCAGTTAATATCCTAGTTTAAGGACCTATAAAACCCGGAAAAAAACATTAGAGACTTAACATGTAAACCTTAGAAAATTCGTAGGACATTTGTGTCATTTTCCCAATTTTTATCCTTATTGATTTTTCACACTAATTCTACATCTTTATTAAGTAACTCGTCTAAGAAAAATACAAAAAAGAATATTATGTAGGTGTATATGCATATTTTTTTTTTTTTTTTTGAAAATGTGCATATAACACAAGAACATACGAATATACACCAAATATATGATTTTTTTTTTTTTTTTTCCAAAACATGTTCTTTATTTAAGTTTTTTAATTGCACCGGGGAAAATTTTCGCAGAAATCAAAAAAGTAAATACACCAAGCCACCACTGATATGGGTAGCTTCATGTGTATATGTGCAATTTTTTTTTCAATATTACAAAAAAATAGTATAAATATTTTGTTTTACTTTAAAAAACAATTGTTGAAAATAAAATACATATTTAGTGTATATGCATAGTTTTTTAGTGCATATGCACATTTTCAAAAAAGTGCATAAAAATTTGTGTGTGTTAGTTTTTTTTTTTTTTTTTTTTTTTTTTTTTTTTTTTAAATTTTTTTATTTGATTTTTTTTTTTTTCAAAATTGCTTTTACATTTCTTTTACATAAGTGAGGTCATACCAATATACACATTAAATTTGATATCAAAATTCAAGATGAATAAAAAGTTGTTCTATTCACTATTTCGAATTATTTCTCCATGGGACCCTTTAGGGCCTAAAACAAAAGATAAGGCTCTTTTGAAATGAGCTGGATATTAATATTTATTTGCATTAAATTTATAACATTTAGATATAAAAATAACATGGAATTTGAAATAGTTATAAAATGAAGTCCTTCCTAATAAATAAAGAATATGTTGCCACATGTCCTTTTTTTTTATTTGGACACATATCATTTTCTAGAATTTTTAAATTTTTTATTTTTCACTTATCATTTTATTGTATTTTTTATTTTATTAAATTAAAATTTTAAATTTAATATGTAAGGTAATATATATGTAAGATATTTATTAGAAAGAGTTTATATATGTAATATATTCAATAAATTAAAACATTATTAATTTTAAAAATTAAATCTTTTTCTCATTTTTCTTATAAATTCAAACTTTTCAAATTGTTAAAATTTCATATTTAATTTTTCATTTAAATAAACCAATGTAATATATGAGTATAACACCTTGTTTTAATAATAATTTATGAAAAGCTGATATAACATACAACATGGTATGACAAATATACTTGATGTTTGTTAACTTATTATCGGTTATTTATTTGCATCAAATTTATAATATTTTGATATAAAAATGGTGTCATAGGATTTGAAATAGTTATAAAATGAAGTTTTAACAATAATTTATGAAAAGTTGATATAACATATAACATGATATGACAAATACATCCAATGTTTGTTAACTTATTATCACTTATTTATTTGCATCAAATCTATAATATTTTGATATAAAAATGGTGTCATTGAATTTGAAATAGTTATAAAATGAAGTTTTAACAATAATTTATGAAAAGTTGATACAACATATAACATGATATGACAAATACACTCGATGTTTGTTAACTTATTATCGGTTATTTATTTACATCAAATCTATAATATTTTGATATAAAAATGGTGTCATTGAATTTGAAATAGTTATAAAATGAAGTTTTAACAAAAGTTTATGAAAAGTTGATATAACATATAACATGATATGATAAATATACTCGATGTTTGTTAACTTATTATCGGTTATTTATTTGCATCAAATTTATAACATTTTGATATAAAAATGGTGTCATTGAATTTGAAATAGTTATAAAATGAAGTTTTAACAAAAGTTTATGAAAAGTTGATATAACATATAACATGATATGATAAATATACTCGATGTTTGTTAACTTATTATCAGTTATTTATTTGCATCAAATTTATAACATTTTGATATAAAAATGGTGTCATAGAATTTGAAATAGTTAAAGAATGAACTTTTAACAATAATTTATGAATAGTTATATAAGATATGATAAATATACTCGATGTTTTTTAACTTATTATCGATTTTTTTTAAAGTTTGTCACTCCATAAATGGTTATATTCATATGGTTACCATTTAGCAAAGATCATTAATAAAATGAACATGTATGACACAAATAAATAAGTAAATTACGTAAATTCCCTCGGACTTATGCTCGTATAGAAACCAATAGAGCCCATTTTACTAAAAAGAACCCAAAATAATAAGCCCTCTTTAAAGTTGTAAACCCATTAAGCAAGTTGTTGAATGTTGATAGAGAGAAAATAATGGATGCAAATGCAATGCAATGCAAGTGCAATGAGTTGGTGGTGGGGAACAACAGTGTGGTGGAGGTGGAGGAGTTGGTATAGTGCACTAGTGGGGGGTGCACACCACATACACCCGCGCATTCTAGCATCACCATCCCCCTATCGTCATCCACATCATCACCGTCCACCCACCCCACCCGGTGGTCCTTTTCTTTTACCACCTAACCCTCTTACTTTCCCTTCTTTCAAACCACCGCGTAATTCCTCCGCTTCTTCCACCCCACCATAATTACATCACGCCACTCATCTGACGATCTTTCTATCATTGTCCTTCCTTTGGATCTTGATGTCCGCCACTGCTACCGCCGTTTCCGCAGCCGAGAAGCCTGTCCGGAGATTTCCACCACCGTGTTGGACCCAAGATGAAGCACTAGCACTGATCCAAGCCTACCGGGAGAGATGGTACGCCCTCCGCCGTGGGTACCTTCGCACCGCGGACTGGGATGCGGTGGCGGAAGAGGTAGGCCGGATATGTCCTGGCGCCGTACCACCCAAAACATCCGCCCAGTGCCGCCACAAGATGGAGAAACTCCGACAGCGTTACCGTGCAGAGAAACAACGAGCGCTGTCGTTCCCTGGTGGCCAGTTTCTCTCAACCTGGTTCTACTTCGAAGCTATGGATTCAATGGAGAAAAACGGTAGCGGATCTAATGCCGATGAAGAAACACAATCCGGTAATGATCTCAATTCTTCCGGTATGAAAAATGTTAATTCGAAAAATAATCATCAATCCAACGCAATTACTGTTTCGAATTATGGGGGTTTGCATCCTGGGCGTGGGATTCGCTTCAAACCAGTTGCAGCTGATAGCAATTTGGTAACTATAGCAAGCAGGTCAAATAATTTTAGGGTTTCACATAACTATGCTGCACAAGAGGAAGATAATGATAACCATGATGAAGTTGAAGACGAATATTTTATTGAACCTCCAATCGGTAAGAATTCAGGAAAAACCCACAAACCATCCTCTCAAAATTATGCAACAAGGTTCCAGTCTGATCATCATAACAACAATGGAGTTCATGTACACCCATCAAATTTCCAAGTTACAGAACATTCAGGTATTAGACCAAGAAAATTTAGCAAGACTGCTTCAAACTCGAATCCTAGCTACTGGAATGAAAACGGGGAAGAAGACGACGATAATGATGATGGAGAAGATGAAGTTTGGGTAAAGATGGGAAAAGACAGGAGTTCAGCATCCATTGAGTTTAGAGATAGTAAGTATGCTGACAGGAACAGGAACATGAACTCAAGCCACCACTATTTGAATGGTGAAGATGATTTTTCAAGAGAAAAAAGAGGGGTGAAAAGAGACAATGACAACTCCTTAGGAGAGATTGTGTCATCGATTAAGGTTTTAGCTGATGGGTTTGTGAAGATGGAGAAGATGAAGATGGATATGGTTCATGAGATTGAGAAAACACGAATGGAAGCCGAGATGAAACGCAATGAGCTGCTTATCGAGTCACAAAAACAAATCGTTGAGGCTTTCGTTAAAGGTTTAGCAGATAAGAGAAAGCAACAACAATGAAAGCAACAAGTTTAAGGTCTGGTTTAATTAGATGTTATATTTATTTTCTTTATATATATATATATATATATATAGAGAGAGAGAGAGAGAGAGAGGGAGATTATTGGTGGTGTAATTTAATCGTTACCCATGTCCATGATCATATAACTGAGAGAGATTATGCTTCAAAATTTCATAATTAGTGCAATAATAATGTGAATAAATGAATGGGCTTATTTGTTGATGTAGTGCATTTATAGTTGATGATAAATAATGTAAATGTAATTGACTAATCACATTGATAGAAACAAAAACAGCGAACAACGGCAGGATCGCCTTTTTCTGAATAGCAATGCCCTGTAGCGTCGGTGAGAAAATGAGCTGCCTTACACACCAAGTTGCAAGCATCGCAGATGGATACTTGACGTTCTTCTATGCACTCTACTGCCATAACCCTCATCATCATCGTCTCATTACCTGTTTAACTCTCAAAAATTAATTCTTCAACTAAAAAAATGAAATGTAAATCATATTATATTAATACAGGATCATATATGAGAAATGAAATATTTGTTAGAAACAAGGCTAACCGTTTTGTAACTGCTTGAAGGCTTATGTTTTGTAACCAAGATACGATTACGAAAACTATTTTTTTCTCTCTGCATAAAATTGTCTTAAAGAACACAAAACATAATCAAGGTATTATGTGTCTGTTAATCAGATTAGTGCTGTAATCTGGTTCGATTTCTTGGATTGACCCGTAAGTCTGCATTCATATAACCCCATGAATAAGGGTTGAATTACGATTTAAGAAAGTGTTGTAATCGCGAACCAAGAAATTATTCAAGTTATTGTTTTTCGAAATCTCTAAGTTCTAAATTGTAGCTTATAAAGTTGTTTATAATCTAGTTTTTTAATGAGTTAGTTTGAGACAACTTATTGATAAATTTATATATAAGCTAAAAACCATTTTTTTCAACCACCGCCAAACATAAACTTACATTGTGGGTTGCATATGGTTGCAAAAACGGCTAGCTTTGTAACATTCATGGGTGTCTAATGAATTTGAGTGGGTATTAAATAAATAAGGGTAATTCTTATACGTATTCATCCAAATTGCTTCCCCTTTGTGAGTGGATTGGTGTATACCTCCATAATTTGACAATTTATGTAAAGGATATAATTGACAATGAACTTTGAAAAAGTTAAAAGAATAATTTACCTGTAGCTATTAAAATGAGGAAAAGAAAGAGATAGAGCATCGAAATGTTCTCCATAACGAATCTTCTATATAGATAGATAAAAAAAAAAAAAAAAAAAACTATGATTTATATGTAATGTTAAAATGATAAGTTCCACGAAATTGGCATGTATGTATTTGAAACCGTACACGGGTGGTTTAGTGAAATGTGAAATAGTGAATCATACCTTACATTTTGTTTGGTTCCAATTTTTTCTTCACCACTTACCCTTATATATCTATTACAATAGATTTTACAAATTTGGTCTGCTTTTTTCTGTTATTGAACTTGATCTATATTTTTTTTACGTAATATGTTAATATCAGTTTGTAACATCTGATTTTAAAAAAAGAATTATATTGAAAAAATTAAATATAATAAATAATTTAAAATAATCATAATCAATTAATAATAAAAATAGTTTTTATGAAAAAATGTTATGAGATGTTTAGATAATTATGAATTTGATGAAAACGTCAACTTGGAGATAGCTGGGCGTTGACCATTGTTGAACCACAAGACTAGCTAGGACTAAAATGAGTAAAAATACGACGGAGAAGGAATAATCGTGATATTAGGGAAAATGCTAGCAAAGTTATAGTGCAATAGTGGCCTTTGTATATAGTTCTTATAATTAATTGTGTTTGTTTAATTTTTCGTTAGTTTACAAAAAAATATTTTTTTCTTGTAATTTTGGAATTGTTTTTTGGATTTTGAACTTGTTTTAAGAATTACTAAGTAGTTTTTTTTTAGAATTTTTAGTCTAGAATCCGGAATACTGGTTCGGAATCCGCGATGTCGTTACGGAATCAATCAAAAAAATATTTTTTTCTCTATCCGGAATGGTTGTTCCAGACAAAGTGTTTATTTTTGTTAACAAAATTGGTTATTACCATTGTTGTCCAAATCACGATCTTGATCGTACGATCCTAAGTATGAAAAACGAGTCGGATCGTAAATGGATCGTAGTTGGAGTAGGATTACAAGTAGGATCGTAAGAACATAGGTATGATCGTAGGATTGAGATAGGATCGGATCTTACCTTTGATATTTATTTATTTATTTTTTTTGCACATGAACTTTTTTTAATATTTTATGTCTTTTATCCTTTACTAACTTAGCTTTTATCATTTTATGTTGTGACTTACAACTAATATTTTGAAGTTTTTATAACTTTTTGTATGAAAATTTAAATATTTGGAATATTTTTTATGTTTTAAATTTATAAATTAAAATTATGTTTTATTTTGTGGGATCTTAAGATCCTGATTCCGATCTTGCAAACTCAAAAAAAATCCTACGTAGGATCCCGATCTGTACAATCTTAATTATTATATTCAAATAGGTTAGATTTCTTAATATCTAAAAGGGTAAATGACACAAAAAACACTAATTTTACACAGAAATTCGATTTTGACACCGTGTTATTTTTTGTGTCAATTTTGACACTGTGTTTTCCAATTTGTTACAATTCTGACCACTTGACCGTTTAACCAAGTTACATGCTGACGTGACATGATGACGTGTCAGTTTTGATGATGTGGCATGCTGACATTATATGATGACGTGTCAAAATTGAATTTTTTTCTCACAAAAAACACAAAGTTTTTTTTTTTTTTTTTTTTTTTTTTTTTTTTTTTTTTTTTTTTCCGATTTTGACACTAAGTTTAATTTTTTCTTTCAACTTTGACACTATGTTTTTTTTGTTCCAAATCGAACATCATTTTTTCCAATTTTGTTTAATGTTAACAATTTTCTATTTGAAACCGTATAAATATTTTTTAATACATTTAAACCGTATAAAAATGTTTTTTTTTTCATTTAAAAACCATAGTTTTGTATAAATACACTTTTTTTACACTCAAACCATAGTTTTTATATAAATATATATATTAGTTATATAAAAATTGTATTTTATATTAAATATGCAACTTTAAAATGTATTTGGAGGTTTGGAGGCGTGTAGTCGATCAAAACTCAGATATCAAGTTTGCAACCCATCAAATTTTTACATCTTATTAGAAACTTATGTTTAGTATGATTTTCATGATATAACTAATACTTTGAATGTAAGAAAAAAAAACATTTTGTATTTAAATAAAAATGTGTTTTAAACGAAAAAAATATGTTTATACGGTTTAAAATGTAATAAAAAAATATATTTATACGGTTTCAAATGGAAAATAGACAAAATTGAACAAAATTTGATAGATGATGTTCGATTAGAACAAAAAAAAACATAGTATCAAAATTGAAATAAAAAATTAAACTTAGTGTCAAAATCAAAAAAAATAAAAACTTAGTGTTTTTTGTGAAAAAAAAAAATCAATTTTGACACGTCAGCATATCATGTCAGCATGCCACGTCATCAAAAACTAACACATCATCATGCCACATCAGCATGTAACCTGGTTAACAGGTCAAGTGGTCAGAATTGTAACAAATTAGAAAACACAGTGTCAAAATTGATACAAAAAATAACACGATGTCAAAATCAAATTTCTTTGTAAAAAGAGTATTTTTTGTGCCATTTACCCTATCTAAAATATTTACATAATTATTCTGGTTAAACATTTTAGTCAACACATATTAGTGTACTATTTATTATGAAAAGAAATATCTTATTTATTAAATCACTCTCTATAAAATCAAATAAACAAATATGCAATAAGATTTTATATGGTGATAATGAACACCACCCCTAGCCCCTATGCAGTGCACTACTACAATTAACTTTCTCGTAGACAGTGGGGGCAGCCACCATCAACCTTATCCACCCACAGCCATACCCACCACCATCTTCACTCTAGTTTGTGGTCTTTGTGTGGTGTAAAGTTGAAAAGTCAACGGGTAAAGTATGGCTTTGGTGGTGGGGTGGTTGACTACTAGTGGGGTGGACGTACGTCATACCTACCATCGCCATCCTCCATCGTCATTATCAACACCCACCCACCCACCACCCAATCTCACCCTCTTATTTAATCCAATCCACCTCCCCCCAAATCATCCAAAGATTAATCTTTCCTCCATTCTATAACCACCAATCCTCTCAAGATTCAGATCCAATCCCATGTTCACCATCGTCGTCGTCAAGCCAGTCCGGAAATTCCCTCCGTCGTGTTGGACGCATGACGAGGCGCTTGTTTTAATCGAGGCTTACCGTGAGCGATGGTACGCCCTCCACCGTGCCTTCCTCTGAAACCCTGACTGGGACACGGTGGCTAAGAAGGTAACGACATCATGCCCGGATGTAACCCTGCCGAAGACCTCCGCCCAGTGCCGCGACAAGATGGAGAAGCTCCGACAGTGCCACCGCGCCGAGAAGCAGCGTGCGTCTTCGTTCCTTGGTGGTCGGTTCTTCTAGTCGTGGTTCTACTTTGAAGCCATGGAGGCCATGGAAAATGGACCCAATTCCGAAACTGTTAACAATAATTCGACCAATCTTGAAATCAACAACGCAACCCCTGTGTCGGATCATCAGAGCTTGAATCTGGGTCATGGAACTCGATTTAAACCTTCTTCTGTTCAAAATCTGGTAACATTAGCAACTAGTTCCACCAATTATACTCCTGCTTTCGGCTCCAAGTTTTCAAATCACAATTCCTCATACACGAACAACTGGTCTAATCAAGAAGACGACAACGAAGATGGATATCTTGATGATTCTACAATCAATGAAACCCCGATTCATCTGGGGTACAAAAATCACAAGACTTCTCCGTTCACTGGTGAAATTCATATAAAACCCTCGAATCCTTCTCAATAGGAACCCGCCCACCATAGACCAACATGAAAGTTCAGCAAGGTTGTTCATGAACATGAAGTCGATGAGGATGGCGAAGTGTGGGTTAAAGTGCCTAGAAACACAAATTTGTTTCAGGGGAACCATCAAAATGGAAAGAGTTGGAATCCAAATTCGAATTAGGGAAAAAAGAGAGGGAATGGAGGGATATAGGAGGTGGCTTCTTTGATTAAGCTATTAGGAGATGGGTTCATGAAGATGGAGAAGATGAAGATAGACATGGCTAAGGAGATTGAAAGGATGCGAATGGAGATAGAGATGAAACGAAACCAATTGATATTGGAGTCATAGAAGCAGATTGTGGATGCGTTCTTGAAGGGTTTGATTGATACTAGGAAGCAGCCAAGAACAAAAACAATGGCGGATTAGTAGCTTCTGATAATGTGATTAGTTCTTGTTTTCAGTAATGTGTTTTTAGTTGAGATTACATAGTTTTCCTTAAAAACCTCATTACATGTAAAACTCTTGCACATTATAAATCACTCCTTTTCACATATAATAAAAATCAAAAAGCCTTGTCCAATTGACGTTCCATAGAGGAGATATCCCATGAAAAAGCAAAGTAACATGAATACAATTTATATTCAACAAAAACTAACTTGTTAAAGCAACTGAACAGCAAACCATCGATGTATACGAGCAGAAGTTTTGAGATGTTTTGTGGTTGTAAACAGGTTTGTGTATATCAGAAGTAATTTTGTTTGCTTGCTCATGTAGATTTTGACCCAATCTTTATCGCTTGATCAGAGAAGCAGTGGACCAAGTTGGAGCTGATTTTAGTAGATTAGGGTCAGACTATGGTCAGCATAGGCTAGACTTTGGTCAACTTGCAGCTAGAAAACTACTCTTAACCACTATGTAACGATTTTAAACTAGTTAGGCCATTCTTATCTATTTATTGAATATTATGAGTATATATATAATTTATACTTTAGTTTTTGGCTCTTACAAGAATTTGAGCAATCCTGACATGTATCTCAGTACATTTCTTTTAACTTTTGTGCCTAAAAACTAAAGGGTCTAGTGTAGATTATCCTATTTTGAAATTCATGTAATTCACGCGTATAATAAAATTCTTACTCTTACTAGTCAATCATCCATGAACTCATCAAGTTCTTCATTTTCAATAGACTCGGGACATTTCAGATCAACTCATCGAGTCCCTCCATGAACTCGCCGAGTTCTTCATTTTCAACAGAATCGGGACATTTCAGATCAACTCTTCGAGTCCCTCCATGAACACGTTGAGTTTTTTAGTTTGTTAGTCCCTTCTTAATGCATTAAGTCTGTATTCTTCAGATCTAAACCCCATACTGCAAATCTGAACTGGAAATGCCTCTAAAAGGGTAAAGTTTCCAACTTTACTCATTAACACCCTTCCTAAAGAGAATAAGCTCAAACCCTAACCCACAAAAGCCAAAGTCTTCATCCAAAAACCACCAAAACTTCAAGATAGACCATGGGGTCATAGATTTGGACTCTAGGGATAGAAAGATCACGTAAAGTTCCAGCTTTCTCTACATGCATGGCCATTAGAAGCTCCAAAAGGCCAAAATGATGGTCTAAAGGTTGCATGGGACTTCCATTGCCTTAAAGTTAGCACCTTTTGCCATGAAAACCCCTCAAGACCCTATATCCGAAGTGTTAACCCATTTAGGACGTCCAACTCCCAAGGACCATGATATTTGGGCTAAAACCAAGCAAAATAACCCTAGAAGGAGATCTACTCAACTAAAAGGCAATGTTCAAGCTTTATAACAGAAAAGTTTCGTGGATGAGGCAAGGATTATGGATCTATAAGCTCCATCTCGTGTCTTCAAGCTTTTCCTTCTTCCAATGGCTTCAATATACACCAATTAAGGATTAATAAAATTAAACTAAACAATTAATTTAATCCTAATCCTTACCCTCAAATTTTCGAAAAATAGGGTATAATATTTATTCTAATTTTAATTATTTCTTTTAAGTCAAGTAAAATAATAATTACCAAAGTTTGGAAAGCTCAAAACCCTTGTCATTTTTGAAAACTTGGGGAGGAAGGATAGGGTTTCCAAACCCTAGCCCTAAAATCGAAAGCTTAAGGGGTGGAGGCTAGGGTTCTTAAACCCTAGCCCTTGTCGAAACTTATGGATTCTTAGGGTTTAATTCCAATAAACCCTAATTTGATCTATCCTTCTATTATAGCTATTTAACAAAAAACAAACCAAATGCTCTAATACTACTTATGGGTTTTAGGCATAACAAACAAATTCAAGAACTCTTAAGTGTGCATGCAACCTAAAACAAGATCTAAGTTTTCTCTATTGAACCTATAACTTAGAACACCAAAAAGAAACCCTAAGAACCTTAGCATATTTTCGAAATTACTAAATAAAAGGTTTAGGGTTATATACCTTTCAGTTGTTATAGCAAACAACTAGACATTCCCTTTGAAGATCTCTTGGAAGCTTTGAACCACAAATGTCGTGCCTCTAATGGAATCATACCTAAGCTAGCAAGAAGATGACTTGAAGAAGGATGAGAGGACGGGTAGAATTTTAGGCTATCCTTTGGAATGATATGGTGGTAGAAAATGCAAGGGCTAATGTCCCTTATATAGTGGTACAAGGAAACCCTAGATAACCCTAATTTGAATTAAATAATATTAATTCAAATTTGGTAATTATCTACTTCCCTATTATCCACATGGGATATTTTAGAAACCCTAGAATATCCCCTCCAAAACCGTCCATAGCTATACCAGGAAGGTTTTGGAGCATTTTGTTCAACTATTGAACATTTCACTTTAGACTCTACACTTTTAATTAATTCTTTTAATCCTAAAATTAATTCCAATTCATTCTTTGAATGAAAGGTCTCACACTACAACAGTTGGACTCAAATAAGAGATGTACAATAGGGTTAAACCTAACCTTCTAAAATTATCTCCTCTCTATAATATGTAATTTAGTGTATTCGCTTACTAGTTAGCTGATGTTAATGAATACTCATAAAAGCACAAATCAAGCAACATTCGAGCATTGAGCAATCAGAATCAAGGCATAACCTAAACACGTCATCCTATCACCCATTGATCAGTACTAGCATGTAAGTCTACAAGCTCATACAGTAGGCATATAAAGGCATCTTGCTTTAGCATTCTATCATGCAATCCTGAGCAGATCCTTAGCCCTAATTTAGCATGCGATTTACATATTCTCAATTCAAAGCATAACACAAAAAATTTATGGGTAGTTTGGGAAAACTTACTTGAGCTCGGTCGATTGTATACACCACTGACCTTTCTTTTATTAGAAAAATCCTGTTTATAAAGCATTTATTTTTATGAAAATTTGACCAAACCCGCAATTGGAGTTCAAATATACCAGGTATGCTCGTATCCCTTAAATCAAGGCTCTGATACCTACTTGTAACGTCATCAAACTTCATTTTTTTTCATATTAATTAAAATATCAAATAAAAGTGTTAAGTAAAACCAAAGGGAAATCATAATGTATTCATAATCTTCCAAAACACATCAGAGTCAAATAAGTGAAAAGTCATGGTGTGTATGATGCGATCATCCCGAGCTCTTCCCCTTCGATCCAGAAGTACCTGAAACATAAACTGAAAATCGTATGCATAAATCTTAGTGAGTTTCCCAAAATACCGCATACCATACATGTAACGCCCGGGTTTCAGGGCTAAGCATTTTTGTCAATGTAATAGTCTAGGTCAACTATTGTAACTCTTTTTGAAGTAATAAATATGAAATATTTGAGTATTATGTGAATTATGTGTGTTTATGTGTTTATTATTTAATTATAAATGTATAATTAATAAAGAATAAAAATGAGCGTCAAAATTAAAGTGTGAGATAATCCCGATATCTCTACACAAAGTTGTAGAATATGTCTCAAGGTTTCTGTAGATATAAAGAATGCCGAAATCCGAGCTATAACGAAGAAGTTATGACCCGCCGAAGTTTTACGGCAAAACCGGCACGGCACCGGGAGACGTAAATAGTGAATTTACGATAGAAGACTTTTTAGCCTTAGCAATCTAAACAAAAGTCGTAGAATATGTTAAACTAAGAACATCGATAAAAAGAACGCCCAAATCTGACTTCGTATGAAGAAGTTATGATTTTTCTAAGATTCGGCTTAGCAGTGCACGGCCCGAAACTCGAATTTTAGTTCGAGCGGTTTTTGGCTTACGCGACCTAAATGAGAGTTGAAGATCTCATTCATAGGAACTCAACGGTAAAAAGACAGACGAAAACGGAGTCCGTATGAAGGAGTTATGAACTCTTCGCGGTCATTTAACAGTCTAAACGCCTCCTACTGTTAAATTTGAGATCGGTCGAGAATTAGCCGACGGAGTCTAAACGAAAGTTGTAGATCTTGATTTTACCTACGCGTGGATATAAAGAACGTCGAAAACGGAGCTCGTATGCGAAAGTTATGATTTTTCTAAGTTTGAGGGCTGATACGCGATAGGGGGACGTGGCACCACCAGAATTGGACACGTGGCACCACCAGAAGGCCACCACATGGACCAACTCGGCGAGTAGGTCCCCCTACTCGGCGAGTCCATCAGATCCTCCCCTATAAATAGAGGTGTCGGGTTCCCTCATTTCCTCACCCCTCACCCCTCTTCTTTCTCTCTCTAAACTCTCTCTCTAAGCTCCCTAACCCCCTAAAAGCCTAGGTAAACCCCCTAGCACCCGAAGGAAGCCCCGAGGCTCCCGGAGTCCCGAGAAAAGAGCCTTTCGGCTCGGGAACGCTGCTCCAGCGAAGCCCGGTTTTCGAGAAAAACCCGCTGTAAGTGAGCTGTACCTATCCTATCTTTAGTTTAGCTTATGTTTTAATATAGGAATGTTATTAGGTCCTTAAAATAATTATTTGGGCTATTATTATGAGTTATATTAAGTGTTATTAACGCTTATATAATAATAATAATAGTCAGCAATTAATTTGTCACGG